TCATTGTTTTACCGAAACGTGATTTTAGTTATAAACTGAAGCTAGTATCAAACGGCGATTGTTTAAAAAGGTTTGCATTTTTCTGGGCCTTAGCGTTAGAGAAAACCCAGATAAGACACGACCTACCTCCTCGTCTTTCTCGGATCCTTTTTAGTTCATTTCTCTTTGTTGATGACCTCTTCTCGGTCTGTTTTCAGGAGCGTCTTTGTATTTCCTTCTGGCGTTGCTCTTCGTTAGATATTTGCCTTTTTATTTATGTCTTTTCTTGTTCTCTTTCGCGTTCCTTTCACCGTATTCTACCTATTGTGGTGTCCTCTCAAACTATCTTTCGCGTTTTTATCGACTCGCTTTACTTCTTTTACTTCTTGTTTTTTCTGGTCCCTTTTTATTGGTCTACATTTATGAAACTGATACATGATGTCTTTAACCCTTTACACTCTAACATCAGTATGCGTATTCTCCGTATTCTTCTTAATGCATTTCCTGATGAATGTGAGAATTTGTTTAACAATCAAGAGGTTCTTCAGTTGATTATCATTTCCTTTATTCTCATGACATTAATGCTTGATTTAGGGATGACATTGAAAGGAGAAATTAGATACTAGTCACTCTCAGGAATTAAAGTGTTAATAACTGTACACATTTTATATGCTCCTTGCACTTGTTGGCAACAATAGTTAAGATTATTAGGAAAGCAAACAGATGAACAGAAGACAGTGAAATGGGGGAAACTGAAAACTTTACCCAATGGTAGAAGAAACGATCACAGAATACTTAAGAAGGGAAACTTGAATTGTGGTAGCCAGTTTCCTCTATTGCCCTTCATGTTTTTGATCAAATAAAATTTAATCAGTTGTAGGGTTTGCTTACAATGTGTCAAGTCACCAGTGTGGACTTGATTCTTCTCAGACATCAGCTGGTAAAAGATAGATGCTAAAAATAGATGACTATAAGAAAAAGTACACCTCTTAAACAAAATCGTACTGAAGTGGTGGCATGATTGATTCGTGATATTAAGAATGACAGAAGTAGGAAAAACACATTGAGCTTTTTCCTATTCGCTAGTAAGTTTATTAGATTTCGGATTCTACATTCAAACTGGCTGAGATTGAATTTATCCATATCATGCTTCAAAATCCCCTAGA